ACAAGGGAAGTGTAAGGCAGAGTTTTGTTGGCAGAGCAAGCAGAATTTAAGTGGTGCAGGAGTACCCTGGCAGACAATGTGGCACCTCTTATCACATCCAATCAGTACTGTGTAGAAAGCCTAAGCCAACCACGCTCTCAAACACCACCAGTCTCACACCTTTTCTCATCTATTTCTCCATTCCATTCAGTCTTTCTGCTTTTGTTAAACCACCCTCACTACGACCCACACTTTATACAGGAGCAGGAGATGGCTGAGTACCAGTGTCACCAGCTGTTCTTAATCCACAAAAGTAAAACCAGGTTGTCCCACATGAGTTAGTTCTTACATGGTTAGCCTTAGATCCCAAAAGTAAAAGTAAATTTGGGGGAAATTGAAGATGGTTTTCCCATGGATATATACTTCCCCTTACATTAATTTAAACCTAACTTTCACCCTGATCCTAATCAGTCATGTCTTATGATGCTTAACCTGACCCCAACCCAAACTAGTTACCTCTGCCTACTTCTGAACTTTGGGATCTAATGTCTATCATGCTTATACAGGCTACAGGTTACTGTATTTGCTACTATGCTTTTACACCCAATAACTGACAGGTGTAGCTGAGAAGAAGAAGAAAATGAAGAACAAGAAAGGAATAGGACTTTTTGTAACCAGGTTTACTGTTCTTTTTTGTTTTGCACTGGAATATCAGCTGCAAATAAACCCTGGTAAGCGTGTTTCAGAAATGACAGTACCATGAAGAAGTTATCAAATGCATTATTTTTTTAAGAAGGTTTGGGTGAAATGGATGATATGTCTTCAGATTAAGACAACAAAACAGTTTAAACTGACTGTGTATGTAGTGACATACAGGTTTGATGGTGTGTGTGTAGGTGGCTTTTTGATGTTCTCTGTGATTGTACTCTGTGTCAACAATAATTGGTTCACTCTGGGATTATATTAGATTATACTGTGTTTTGACTAATGCAAACTTTGTAGAGTATATCTATACAAGGTTCAAATCATTTCCTATTGTTGGTATCCTATCCCTGTTTGTCTTTATTAAACAATAGTGAAATAAGAGAAAGGATGTTATTTACTGCAAGTAGACAGCACTATTTACTCTCACCCTTAACTCTGCACCGATGCACTAAATGGGGTCATCTTCCACTTTCAGTTAACTATTGAATTCATACAATCTGCACTCCATGAATATACAGTATGTTTTATATTGATGCTAGTTCCACAATTCCATTAAATTTTAGTGCAGAATTTGAAGCCACACTTCTGACCTGAACTCTCTGAACTTCAGTTGTACTCAATGCTAACTGCTTACCTGAACAGGCAGCTAATCAACTATAGAACCACAGAAAGCAATGTAAAAATATCCACTAATTGGGCACAGTTGCTGTAATTTTCATGTTTGTTTGTGCCTTGCAATTAGGAGCATTTCAGCTGCCAGTTGGACTGTATAGGGTGTTTTTGAAGATGAGTGGAAGCTTCATAATTTGAGTCACAGTGTACTGCAATCACCCATATATTAGAATGGATCAAACAACCTCTCCTCCATAGAAGTTCAAATATGTGAGGATAATTTGTTCCTGCATTCATCCGAATGTATTGACAACTCAAAAATACCCCTCATAAGTAGCCAGTATTTACAAGTGAGGATGGGAAAGTTGTGTCAGGATTCTTTTCATGGAAATGTTTGCAGCACCATAGGAGGTTGGTGCCAGAATGATGCTTGTTGATAAATTCATGTGATGAGATTCAGAAACAGCTGGCTGCTTAGAGTAATTTTCTATGCTGTTGTTTCCTTGATGCTTTCTGCACCCTTTTACATACAATGACTCTGTGCTGAGATATAAGAGAAGAAGGGAGCAAGAGGCATGAAGTTCATCTTTGAAATCCCTCCATTACTGAAACCCCTGCACACACAACCCTATAGACTCCTTCAGTGGTTTAGTCTACAGCTATCTTAGCAATTACAGCAGTTTCCCACGGGCTCCAGCAAAGGGCCTGTTAGCTAATATGCTAATGAAGACAAATGGATGTAATCTCTCTGTTCTTGGGATGAGTCTGGTAGCAGAGAAAGAAAGTTCATGAGACAGAGAAAAAGACATGATGATAGTTAAAGACAGACAGAGGATATTATGAGTTTACCCAAATGCTTTTTAGTCATGCCATGACCCCACCTTCCTCATCAACCCACCCAGATAAAAGCCCAGCACAAAAGCACCAAGGCTTGCAGTGCTCAGGCCCTGTGCCTGCTTGTCAGCAAAAGCATGCTAAGCCCTCTCCAGAATGTATTTAAAGAGTTCGAAACAAGACAGGAAAAGCATCAGACACTATTCACATGAAACACAGCCGCTGATGAGGGTTTTACCTTTCAGCATTACAGTGTTTCCGTTAGATGTGGTGCAAACACACAGTCATCGCTGTACCATTTTAATAACTATGTGTGTCATATAGAGTGAAGCAACATAATGACATGAGACCCATTACACATTGTATTTGGAGATTAGACCAACAACTGTGGTTTTGTGGTCAGAGTCATGCTGATGGTAACCATGTGTGCCAGAGGATATACATACTTAGACTGTGCTGACAAATACTAGAATAATGGATGCCAATGTACCTGAATCATTATGAAGTGCCTTTTTATGGGAATAGGCTTGGTTAATAATGAGCCATGCCATTGCCTTGGTTTGACCAATATCGGTTTCATTAATTCAGAAACCGTGATACTTTTATTAGTTACTTATAGCTTTTTTAATCACTCCAGCTAAGATGGACTTAAAGCATGTTAAATAGATTCAGGCTGTAATATAAAGCCCTTAGGTTTTAAGAGTTTGTGTTGTTTGTGTGGCTGGAAAAGCACAAGCACATGCAGCAGACTCACTGTTGGGAATAGAAAAGTTCATACAGTGTCTTACTTTTCATAGAATGTTTTTTTTTTTTTTTTGATGAGAAAGCAAATTGGGCACTGTCAGCAATGTATAATCACGAATGTGACAACCTCTTATTATGAGCTGATGTGATTATTTTCAACTGAGCAAACACAATCGCTCCCAGTCCAAGGAGCACACATAATTGTTCACTTGCTCATATCAGCAGGTCGACATCACCTTCCTCTAACAGTTTACTTGTGAGTTTGTGAGAATTTGGTTTTCTCATCCATTGAACACAGTCAACTGCACTTCCCAACAGATTCAGTAAAACTTCTTAATGCGCCATAAACTTATGTAAATGCATGTTTATTACTGCATTCAAAGCAGAGCCCAGTTTATTAAAAGTGTGAGATTAATACTTTGTTGGCCAACAGTAAAGTTAAAGATGATATTAAATCTAAAACAACTCATGTTGCAGTTGTTTAGCTAAATGTATCTCTGCTTCTAATAAAGTGCCATAGGAATGAAGTATTTCTGTAGGCCAACCTGGAAGTTGGCATCAACCTGGTTCCCTTTAAAAGAAGCCATTAGGAATTTTACATAGGCTTTTGGATTATTGCAGAATAGTTACATGTTTTGTTCAGCAAGATAATCTTCACAGGTAAACACCACTACAATCACCAGAAGTAAAAACCTATTGTTAGGCTCCAAAGGAACTACACCACGGTCTCCATGAGTCTCTTTAGTCTCATTTAGCCACTTATTATTAGACTTATTATCCGGATGACCCCTCAATTAACTTTACAGAGGGGGTGTAGCACAGAGGGGGTGTAGAGCAGTCATCTCGCGTTTGCTTCACATGCATAATGTCCTGGGTTAAAATCCAAACATCTCCAATTCTGGGGGTGACTGTGATTCAGTGGGTAGAGCAGTCATCTCCCAACCAGAGGGTCGGAGGTTCTAATGTTACGACGAGCTGTGCGTGAGTTGTTTAGGACCCAGTAAATATGCAGATTCGAACCCAGGCTAGACAAGAAAAACGTATTTAATGCTCCACAAAAACAAACAAAACAGAGTCGGTCTCGTCCGCTGATCTTGAGCTGGGCACACTGAGTTGACTGGACTACTGTCTCCCGGGGTGAATGAGAGGCGCTGCTCGCTAAATCAGAACAGAGAGAGAGTTTAAGAACAAGCAGCAGGTATGGTATAGATCGTTTCTGGTAGTCACTCTGGGGACCTGAACAGCTGAGTGCGCTGCAGGCCCAGGGAGTAGTCCAGGGAGGGGGAGACTGGTGCCAGAGATCTCGGGTTCGGTGTGTGGGTTCCCTGATGAGGCAGCGCTGGTAGCTGAGCGGTGCGACGTAAGATGGTGGCGCTGTCCCAGGATTGCCTTGGAGCTTTGAGAGGAGGAGCAATTCACAAAAAGCAGTCCAAAAACCAAAAAACCCATTTAAACGTGAGAGGGGCACGAAAACCGATACAACAGAACAATGCGCAATAACAGTTCACAATGTTGCGAAAGGAGCGCAGATCAAACAACGGTCCATAAACTTGAGGCCTTGACATGAACATGAAACGTAGTTACCAACATGATAACACATAATAATCTGGCGACAAGGACGCACCAACGCTGACCCTATATACTGCTCCGATAATGGAGAGCAGGTGTGCCTCGTCGCCTGGAATGCACCCTCACCTGTGCAGGGGCGGAGCTGCTGGAACTACCTGTGCCTGCTACCGAGGTACATGGGGCGGCCCGGGTGACGGACGTAACATCTAATCTTGGTCCACATGTTGAAGTGTCCTTGGGCAAGACACTGAACCCCTGATGGTTAGAGCCATTGGTGTGAGTTGGTTCTGTACCAGAAACAAATTCCTTGGGTGTGTAATATATTTGGCCAAATAAAGGTGATGATTATTATTATAAACTGTTATGGTTTGTGGACTTGCTTCCTGTTTTGTTCTTTTATTTTGGTTGGACTTCCTGTTTAATGTTACCTCACTTGCCCCAGCTTTACTCCAGTCACAATCAGCATTCATTGTTTCCACCTATTGATCATTATCCCCTGGTGTTCTCCCTGTATATCTTCCTCCCTTCCCCTCAGTCTGGTTGCTGCTTTATTTTGTCTCCATGCCTCATTGCCTTTGTCCTCTGCTTCCTATCTCCATTTGCCACACCCTGCTTGTCGTGTACTCTTGCAAGTAGTGATGAAGCTTCATGAAGCCTTGACGCCTTCCAGCCAGTTGGTTTGTAAAAAAGGTTAATTTCTCAAGGTTTCATGTGCACACAAACCCCCCTGCTGGTCAAAGACTAAGTCAGGCAGATGTTTTTGTAGTCATTTTAACTGAATGTAATACTCTCAAAGCTGTCTCACCACAGTTTGGGCATGGGAATAATGACTGCCATTTAACTGCATTTTTCTCTTGTGAACACAAGATAACCTATTCAAACCATGAGTTTTTGTTTCCCCTTATCAATGTACTTGTGCTTGTTTGTAAATAGTGTGCATAAGAGTTTCTTGGCTGATATAATTGAAGTTCCGTGATAGTGGTACACATACAGTACCAAAGTGAACCTCCTCCTTTACATCAATAGTTGAAAACGTCATATAATAATGACAGGGGGTGCAATTATGTTTTCAAACTGTGGCAGTGTTAACAAGGAAGAGGAAAGTGAATGTGCTTGTGAACCAAGAAGGGCAGTGAAGGTGCTTGTGCAACTGATGCAGGGGGACACTTAATTTTTAAAAACAGTATTTGTTCAACAGTGTTGGAGTTTAAGTGATTTCTCTTTTTGGAAATACATAATTCACGAACGCTCACAACTCCAACACTACTTTCCTTGGGCTTTATATCTGTCAATACATTGCAGCAAAATTCAAACTACTTCCTGAACTGTTACACTCAGTGAGGCTTCAAACGTCATTGCGCCGTAAACGATACAAGCTTAGATATGCGCTTCACTAAACACTTCCTGGATTTGTCGACACGCTTCAAAGCACTGGTACAGTACGTCCCATCACTACTTGCAAGTTTGACTCTGTCTCATGTTTGTTCCTTTGTGTTTGGTTTCCTGGCCTGTTAGCAGCTCTTTTGTTAGTTTCTCCAGTCTTGCTTATAGTTTCTTACCCTGCTCCCTGACCTACTGTTTGTTTAGCATTTTGGAATTCTTTATTTCTCCTTGTCAGGTTGAGCCTTTATATTTTTTCCCCTTTAGTCTCGTTCTCTATTATTTAATACAATCCTACTTGAACCGTCCCTTGGCTCACGTGTCTGCACTTTGGATCCTACCTGGCTAGTAACCACAACATAAACAGCCTTTTTAAAACGGGTAAAACCATAAGAAAAATCTTGGGTTGGGTATTTACAGATGTATTTTATGTTGTAGAACAAAACATGAAAATGCATTAGCCTTCTGTTGACTACAAACCTTATTTCAGGTGTCTAGCCAAAAACCCCATTCAACCACCCCCCCCCATAAACTTACAAGCTACTGGAAGTGCAAAAATGCTAACTCAGTTTCAATTTTTAGGACTTATCACTAGACCACTCTATGGGCCTCTTTTAAACAAACACACTGCAAAGGAAAACATTCCTTGACACTACAATTCACAGTAGTTTAAATGCCTTGTAACCACAAGGTTTGTCTTGTCTTCTGAAGTTTGACAAAGAAACACTGGAAAACAATATTTATGTTTCCAGTGGGCTTGTAATCTGCATTTTACGCAACATAGCACACTTAGGAGTGTTGTCACAAACAAAATGACATTCCAGGAATGCTTCCAGTAAAGATTTATCCAGGGTGCTCTGATGTTCCAACAGAAGGCCTTAGTAACACAGTTGGGACTATATTGTACAGTAGATGTGTGCCACACCCCTTGCCCTGGTTTTCACCAAAACCAAGTCTCAAACTGTTCATAGCTCCATGGGCGAGACTACAAACAGATGACAGAAGCAGAGAAAGCCATATAATAGCTGTTTACAGTGGTAGACAAAGGCGTAACTATTAAAGCGTTTGCATTACACCGTGTTCTGTTTTAGTTTCAGCTTAAAACTGGTCACTCTCAAAGCAGCAATTGTTTTACATCAACCATCTGCAGAGCACTTTAATTCTTGTGTTGCTCTGTAGCCACACACCTCTGTCTCAAAGCCCCATACATTTTCCCCTTCACAAATAAACCAACCATATGCCTTCAATGCAAATGTTCACTACAGCCTGAGGAAGCGTGATTTAATGAGTAGGTGTTGAAATGATTATATTAATGTAATATAATTAGTATGTATGCAAGGCTGTTCTGTGTCACTCAGTGGTCCAACAACCCGACTGATGCTCAGGTAACCTTAACAGCCATGATTAATGGAAAAGGAACACCTCATTTAGTAGCGCTGGCAGGGAGCAGGCAACTAGTGTGGGCATTTGTGTGTATGTGTTTGTGCTTCCTGACTCCACGGTGCCTTCCGTTGTGTCTAGTCTTCCTCTCACACAGCACCAGAAGTAAACACAGACGTCTGTCACAGCACACCATACTTTGTTTGGATAAATGTGAATGCTAAATGAATGTATTTGCATACTTGTCTGTGTGTTTGCATGTATGTGATGCAAAAACACATACGTGTGTGTGTGTGTGTGTATCTGAATGTATAAATGCATATTGGCAGGAAAAAGCCAGTAATAGTCTAGACTACACAGATGCGCTCAGTGAGAGTGAGAAATCTGTGAAGCCATAGTCCAATTAGATACTGTTGTGGAAACAGTGTGGGACGGTCACATAGACACACACAAACACATGCGCACTTCAAAGTTTGTATGTCACACTGCTGTTCTGATGCAAGTCACTGGCAAATTTACTGAGGGAATTTCTATAAATTAAGCAAAAATATCCACTTGCACTCAAGGATGACCTGAGTAGATTTTGGTGGTCACAGGTCAAAGGTCACTGTCACAGTGACCTCACACCTGTCCATTCCTGTGGTTGATGAATGCAACTTTTCCAAAAATTAAAGCAGAATTGGAAGCCTTAATCGCTATTTTGGGAGCAGTGGTTATGCTAATAATTACAGTAACTCTAACAAAAGTACACCTTCTTTCGAACAGGTAATATTAATCATTATGAAAAAGCAGTTTACAACAAGTTTGTATATTTAAGAAAGTTTGGTGTATCTGACTTGGAACACTTGGAAGGACATTCCTCTTACATAAATGTAGTTGACAGTGTTCCCCTTGTCTTTTTATGCCTAATACATTTTTGACCAGATGAAACACTTAATCGTGACTATAATTTAAATGAAAACTTATAATCTTGAACACTGATTATTTACAGCGTATGCTTTACTACTATAGTTGAGATGCTGCATGTAGCCCTACTCCCTTATGAAAATGTGTGAATAAAAATGCAAAACCTGCACTTGTCAGTTGCATTCTGCTTATTATTTGCCAGACATTATTATAAAACCTAAATTAGCATGTGTACCGTGTGTGTGTGTGTGTGTGTGCGTGCGTGCGTGCCTGTAACTATTCCTATAGCAGATGGAGGAGGACTAGCATTGATATTGGCAGCAGGAACAATGGATGGAGTGAGATGGAGGTAAGGACACTGTATTCTGCCTCACAGCATGTTATAGCTTATTCAGTTTAGCAGATAGCTAACAGTCAGTATGAAGAAAGAAGGGGCGTAGAAAAGTTCCTGTTGAGGACTCTCTCCAGTTCCTCAGCTTTATTTCTCTACGATCACTTGTTACACTTTCTCTTTCCTTTTTTTTTTGTAAGACTGAAAATAAAACAGAAATAAACATCACTCAAAGTTGTCTGTAACAACACAGTTGCACCAACGAACTAAACTTCTCATCTATATAAATACCAGTAACTAACACTACATCGCCATGTTGCCTCGCTTTAGCTAACACAACAGATCATCACTCTCACGGTAAAGCCGCGGCAAAATGTCATTAAACACACCTAACAAACACAATGTTAAGTAAATTAAATCCTCTCAAATAAACCGTAATACTACTTACAGACAAAACTTAACGTAGATCCAAAGGAGAGGCAACCTGTGACTGTTTTCATTATAGACTTACTAGCAGTGTGTTTCACTAAACATGTCCCACTGAAACCAACAACAAACTCCGTGGGGGAAAAATGTGCATCACTGAAATAGGTCCTGCTGTAAAACTATAACAACTCCGCAGGGCGGAACAAGCTGTCACCAGTTTTTATATCCATTATCAGCTGTGAATATGCACTTAATGAAGAATTGTGGAACAATGAGATCAATCAACATCAAACTCAAAAATCCAGGTATTTGAGGACATTTTATTGAATGACAACATTCTTAGGATGGAATTAGAATTAGCACAGAGAATACAATGGGAATTCTGTGTTAATATCCCCTTAGTATTTGTTCACATGTATTTTATGTTTTAAGTTGTCTGGGTCGGTTGACACAGGGATTAACGGTTTGGCATTCAAAATGGCCATGACCTCTGCCATCAAAGTAGTCAAGACTTTGTGTGTGAGGCGAGTTCGGTCAGAGTGTTGCAACATCCCATCCAGAATTTGTCGTGCCACTCCTATCATCCTTTCCCAACAACCACCCATATGAGAAGAATGGGGGGCATTGAAGGTCCACGTACAGCCTTGGTTGTCAAGGTAACTCGTCAGTTCTGGATCATCAGTGTTGAACTTTAAATCTTTGCATGCTCCGATGAAGTTTGTCCCTCTGTCAGAACGAAGCTGTGTGGATGGTCCTCGAACAGCAAAAAAGCGTCGCAGAGCATTGATAAAGCTTGAAGTAGACATTGACTCTAACACTTCAATATATGTGGCTCTGGTGCTCATACACGTAAATAACACTGCCCATCTCTTATTTTCTGCACTGCCTCCACGAGTTCGGCGAACAACAACGTTCCATGGCCCGAAAACATCCAATCTGACCTTTGTAAATGGAGGTTCGGAGGTAAGTCTGTCTGTCGGCAAGTCTGACATCTTTTGTTCCGTTAACTTTCCTCTCAATTTCTTACAGGTGACACAATTATGAATCACTTTGGAGACTAGTCGTTTACCAGCTATTATCCACACTCCCGCTGATCGGATTGCTCCTTCAGTGAAGTGGCGACCCTGGTGAGCTACTTCTTCATGATAATGTTTCACTATGAGTGTGGCAATGTGGTGGTAGTATCATAGGATGTTTCTCATCACTTGATAAGTCAGCGTTGGTAAGACGTCCTCCTACTCTAAGAAGACCTTCTTTGTCCATGAAAGGATTTAACTTAATGGACTCTGTTTTGGGATCTGATTTCCCTTTTTCAAGCACTTGATCTCTTCCCTGTAGGTTTCTTGCTGGACGCGCTGGACGACAACTGTCTTAGCTTGCACCATGCATCAGAGGCACTACTTTTGGGAGTTTTGGAAAATGTTCTGGCTACTTGGATAAGTTTTATTATTGCTTGCAAGAGCCTTTTCCAACTAAAAAACCATTCAAAGCGTGACGAACTGAACTCACCCTCTATGGCTCTGGTGTAAGTGACAGAAACCTGCACTCTAACTTCAGCATCCTGTTCGGGTTCGATGATGTCAAAGCTGTTATTGGGTGGAGGTTTATCTGTGCATTTCAAAAAACCAGGGCCTGAGAACCAGTTGGTGTCCTTGAGGAGGTCTACAGTTATGGGTCTTGTAGCATGATCTGCCGGATTATGTTCTGTAGCAACGTAGTGCCACTGTTCTGGGTGGCTTGATTTCCTTATGCGGTTGACTCGATTAGCTACGAACACATAGAACCTTCTGGATGTGTTGTGAATATAACCAAGCACAATCCAGCTGTCGGTGTAAAATCTTACTGCATGTATCTCAATGTTCATCTCACTGAGGATCATGTCTGACATCTCTACTGCTAAAACAGCAGCACACAGTTCCAAACGAGGTATTGTGTGCGCAGGGTAGGGTGCCAATTTTGCTTTTTCCATGACGAACCCAGCATGGTGTTGATTATCATCGGTGACACGCAGGTAGGCCACTGCTGCGATAGCCTGTGTCGAGGCATCTGAGAAAATACACAGTTCTCTTTTCTGAGATGAGGCAAGAGAAATTGAGACATACCTTCTTTCGATGGATATCTTCTCCAACTCCAAGAGAGACTCCTTCCACAATTTCCATGGAACTTCCTTGTCTGAGGGTAAGGGGTCATCCCAGTCATGATGTTTGCATGACAGCTCTCTGACCAGGGCTTTGCCTTGCACCGTAATAGGAGACACAAACCCAAGTGGATCATAGAGACTCTGAACTGTTGATAGAATACCTCTTTTTGTAAAAGGCTTCTCTTCTCGCGGCACTTGAAACCCAAAGCTGTCCCTCTTCAAATCACAAATCGGTCCGAGGCTTCGTTGACGTGGTAGAGGGTCTGTGCTGAAGTTGAGGTCTTTAAGATCCTTAGCGAGGTCTTCTGATGGGAATGCTTGCATTACCATGCTACTATTAGAGGCTATTTTGTGAAGCTTTATATTGGACGCTGCCAGCAGTTCCTGGGTCTTCTTTAGAAGATCAACAGCTTCAGCTTCCGTTGCAACTGATGTTAACCCGTCATCCACATAAAAGTTCCTAGTTACAAACTCTTTGCTTTCTGTGCCATACTCATCCTGATGTCCTTGTGCGGCTCTTCTCAAGCCATAAATGGCGACTGAAGGTGAGGGACTGTTTCCAAATACGTGCACCTTCATCCTGAATTCGACGATCTCCTTGGTAAGGTCATTATCGTAGTACCAAAGGAAGTACTGCCTTTCATACACTGAGAGCTGATTTTACTGTAGGATGGACATTTTCTTGTATTAAGACAGAGATTCTTTCCAAAAATCTATAAAATATATACTTTAGCTAGTCATCTCATGCAGTGCTTGGCCATGACTGTTCCATTACAACATGTTAATCTGATGTCCTTGTGCGGCTCTTCTCAAGCCATAAATGGCGACCGAAGGTGAGGGACTGTTTTCAAATACGTGCACCTTCATCCTGAATTCGATGATCTCCTTGGTAAGGTCATTATCGTAGTACCAAAGGAAGTACTGCCTTTCATACACTGAGAGCTGATTTTACTGTAGGATGGACATTTTCTTGTGTTAAGACAGAGATTCTTTCCAAAAATCTATAAAATATATACTTTAGCTAGTCATCTCATGCAGTGCTTGGCCATGACTGTTCCATTACAACATGTTAAATGATTATTATTACAAACAAATTAGTGATTAGATATGCTGCTTCTAACAATTGTTTTTCACAATTAAAATTGATTTGTCCCATTTGAAGAGAAACCTTTGGCTGTTTTAAATTCTAGAGAGAGAAAGTCAAAAGACAGAAACTCTTTCATTCAGCTTGTTTGCATTTTTGTGTCTCCTTGTGGTAAAACCTCAGTGCTATCCAGGAACCTAAATGTTATTTATTCCCTCTCTAATTACCAGCTCTTATGGTTTAGCCTTGGTTGGTTTTTTCTAATAAATAAAACCTTCATGTCGATAGTTTTGTTTCAGGGCATTCCCAGACTCGAGGCCTTGGTGGGTCTTTGTGTTCTCAGGAAGGGCAGTGTTAGAGCAATAATCAGCGTTAAATATGTATTATTTTGTTCTCTATTACTGTCAATATATGTACTATATGTAGTTGTGTAATGTAAAGTTAATTTATGAAGACTTGTCAATTTTTTTTTTTGCCCAAATTCAAAACTGTGTACAAAGTATTCCCCTGTCAGTGTGAATACTTTTTTGTAGTCATATTGGATTCTGTAGAAAGCAGATTACTTGTACTTAAGCAACATTTTGAATACAGCAGGAAAGAATTATTGATTTTAATGACAGTAAGTAGATGACTTTGGTAGCATTTCCGGCACTTGGCAGTCATCACCTGCTTCCAATGTTATCACCCTATTAAATGGCCATTATCAGTTTGTCAATGGGACCATACTGTAGATGTGGGTTAGTAGGGCCTACTCACCTAGCAGGCTGAGTAGGCCGTTATCTTGTCTTGGTTACAATAATGAACATGGAGTTTATCAGATTTAGGCACAAAAAACTCTTTAGATTTAATCACAAAAAGTATTTGGTTAGCTTTAGATAAAGAATGATTTTGGTTTATGTTAATTAACAACTTACTACAGTAAGAACACTCACTAAAGATTTGAAACAAGAAACCAGCAGCTAGCTCTCTCTTTGAAAATTCGGTCTCATCCCCCTGACCTCCTTCCTACATGGGCTTTACCAGCGATGACTTTTGCTCCTGTCATTATTACTATGGCCACTAGAGGTTGCCTAATTACAATACATATCAATGATATGCAGCTTCTGACCTCCAGCGAGGTGTGGTTTGCCCCTTGTGAGGCATACAGAATTCATAGGTGTGAAAACAACTGATACTGTCCACACTGGGTTGTGTTATGCTGCTGGTTTTCTCAGGCAATAACAGCCACCTGTTTACACAGACATATGGGTGGCCTTATAGATTTGAATATTTTTTATGACAGAAAAAAAGGGAATCTAACAATTAAGTGAAGGACTCACTGACCTGCACAGCAGGGTTTTTTCAGGTTTTATTTAATAAAACAAATCAAAGAAAGAGTTCATTTATTCAGCAGTGGCCAATAATGCAATCTACTACTCGATCTTTGAAATAAGAAGCACATAACAAACTCAGAAATCTACACTCACTCATCCTTTACATTCTGCGCCCTCCCAGCCCCTTTTGTGGTGGATGTGGAAAGAGACAAAGTTGTTTGTAATAGGAAGGAGGCCCAGGTCTGTCTCTCAGGACCTTATTATGGCAGTTCAGTCAATCCTATCAGAGCAACCTCCCACATACCTCCTGAGGGTATGAAGACTTTCCTACAAGAACTATAACACAATTAATCACTGGTGCAAATACAGTATATATAGGTGCACTTGATTTCATGATTTTTAAACAGCTAGGTTCATTCAATTTGTCTGTGTGATAAGATTTCAGCACTTCTTGTGTTTTGCTGATACTAACAGCAAATTCAAACCTAATTCCTCTGTCGGATGCTAAATCACACTGTGTGGAAAAAATGCAATGTTTATAATAAATGGCACTGACTTACTCTGTTTGACAAAATCACTGACTTCCTGAAGGGAGATAAGTACAGTTGTACAAATTCTACTAAATGGTACCAAATACATGTTGGACTGTAGCTTGTACATCCTGCTGCTTTCAACCGACCCAAATAAATATTATTTGCTCATTCAATTTATTGGATTTGAGTGGAGCAAGTGGTGTTGTCTGACAAATATTAGTTTAATTATTGTTTTAATTATTACTATGCTTCTTGGCTGGACATATAATGGACATCACAGCAGTACTGTTATAAAACTCATGAGTATAATTTTCATAAAACATCTGTTATTGGACTTGGAAAACAACAGCGAGGCTGGTGCAGTTTTGTCTAGAATCCCCTGTAGTGCAGTAAGAATATAAAAGGACAAGGGAAAAGGTGAAGAGGGGTGGTGCTGGCAACAGTAAGGAAGCTGGTATGATGTTTGGTGCAGGGGGATAGTGTTACATGCCAGCAGCCTGTTGGCTTCCCCTCTTTCTATGCACTGTCAGAATGGAGGAATGTGCTGCCTGAGAACCACAGGGAGGAAGACAGTACTGTCAGCGAGCAGTAAACACAGTCAGCCTATCTGTTTGTTTGTTTGTATTTATGGTGTAAGAAGGCCAGGACTTGGCAGCTTCAAAGCTGCTCCTAAACAACATCTGCTCTGTGGGTTTGGAGCACTATACGGTCACATCATGACACATTATGACTTACACTTGTGGCTTTGAATCAGTATTTTCCTCTATCTTAGAATGTTCCAATGGCAAGAGTTCAAGACTGGACACACACTCATTGGGAAGAAGGGAAAAAATGCTGGAGAGCATAGATGGGAGGCACCCATCGCATTTTCCAATTTATCACAATCTGAAACTGATTTTCAGCAATTAGTGTGAACCAACTCGTAGCTTTATTGACTAAAAACACAGTGGCAGTGCTTTTCAGACAACCAAATAAGAACAATAATGTTTGACTGTCAACACTGATCGTCTTTTACATGCCACTTTATAATCATATTTTCTAGTCCTGTATTATCAAAAATACCGGCAATCACTTTTTGTCTTTGTTGACTACTGTGTTGCTAGAAATATTTTAAATTGTCAGTGTTCAGTTTCCTTTTAATTGTTAATTTCATACTTTTCTTTATGTAAAAGTGCATGTAAAGTTTAATGTTATTCAAATTTTACATTAAGCACACAGCTTTTATTTCCATTAAAGGCATAATTCCATTTTGTCTTCCATTAATATGTAGTATAATATATGAAAATTAATCCAGTTGCTTGCTCAGAAAGCTCCCCGATGAAACTAAATCCTCATATGTGTAAACTATGAGTCAAGACCAACCAGCCTTTGAATTGATTGTTAGCTGTGAGGCCTCACGGTATTCATCTATTTCAGTAGGTAATAAGTGAATTAGTGGGATGTAGAAGATGACGTATGATGAAGGCTGGCATGTCTAAAACCTGCTGTAAATCCACATGCCACAGCCACTTAATAATGTGGCCAGAGACCTCTTGGCAACATTCTTCACTATATCCACTGACAACCTGAAGCTCATAAATCTCTCAGAGTAAAACTGTGTACAGAATGTGCTGCTCAGTCATTTGTTCTAAAGTATCTACATCATATGCACTGTAAAATAAATGTTCCAGTTCATTTTAAAGGACATTTGAGCTCAGTGCCAATCCATAATATACTGAGCATGACAAATAAGAAAATGGAAAGACTTACTCCTGAAAATGTGGTAATGTACAGTAACCTGCTGCGTATGTAACGATTTTCCGAAAGACAGTGTCTAATTAGGCTTAGCCCCATTTCCACAAATTAAACAATGTTCACTACTATGACATAATGAGTTTTTTCTTTTTAATAAACTGCACCAGTGTAACTGTTGCCATCACCTTTAGATTTAAACGATGTGGGGAAAATGCTCAAAACTGAAATATGCTCAGTAGATTTGGACTTATTAAAGGCATGATATAACAGTTTTTCTAAGTGAGCCCTCCTGCTCTATAAATTGCATTCAGGAGCTTCTCAGTCAGTTAAATGCTGTAACAGTTTCTTTTTTTGGCCTGTCTGTGCTCTCTGCGTGGTGTGTCCTTTAACTTTTGTCATACGTCAGATGCCTTCCCAGCCTCCAGCTTCCAACCCCCCACCACAACAGCTGGCGTCTCAGCAAGGGCCCTGACGTTACACTGCCACCCCAGCCTTTCAGTGCAGATCAAGCATTGTGGTGTCAAGGGCCCCTAATGGGCCTCAAAGACAAATGCACATGGTAAACACAAATACAAGCACATCATATGTCCAGTCACACAATGATAAATAAAGCAGAAGTCATTATAACATGACAAAGTGTGTTTTGTTCCCAAATGTAGGCTATTGGTGAATTATGAAGTAGTTATAAAATGAACAGTTTATTCATACACATTGTTTAAATATGACCATAGTCTTTTAATAAGGCATAACATGTTTATATACATGATATTTTTTCTTTGTGTCCCTTTCAAAAACTCATTGCATTCAATTTGCATTAATTCACTTTGCCCTATGACAAAAAATAACAAACAATTGGGTTTTGTGTGTTTCTAAATAAGGTTTTAAACTTGTCCCTGCTGGCTATTCCAAAGTCTGCATCAAAATGACAGGATCCATTTGGCCGTTCCAGTTCCCAGACTTAAAGCAAGTGTGCAAAATTGGTTGCTCTGCAGTCAGAATTAAAACCAAAACGTTCCATATGTATGACTCAAAAATCAGAGCCCACTTTTGGCTATTTTATTAAAAACACCAGATTCTTTTTGGCTATTGTGCAGTATTATTTTAAAAAGAAATTGAAAAAGTAGATTTGATTTACACACTTCTTGGAACACAGGCTTGTAGACCCTGAATTCATTTACTGTTTTTACTGGACCAAATAAAGACTAAGCCATACTTTAATATAGGAGCAGATCACATACTCCCTGTTAACCAAATCACATTATTTGTATTGTTGAACTAACTTTCTGTGAGAATAATGAACAGAGATCTTAAGTAAAATGAGAGAGTGTGTATGTGATTGGATTATTACAGTAATAGATCATGGGAACACATTACCCCTTTGTCCCCAGATAGATTTATAATATTTCTCTTAGTCCCAGCATGCTCTCCATTTCAGTGAGTCGAATTACAGTGATTGACTTTGGCTGTAAAATATGGTGAATAGCTGAGTTTGTCATTCAGTGCAGGAAGACGCCCGTGTTACGGGATCTAGACTGAAAAACGGCTCCAACTGGAGGGAGACGGAGCAAAAGAGAGGGAGAAAGCTGAGTGGAGAGGAGCCGCTCTCAGATCAGTGAGTGGCTTCATGGAGTTATGTACCTCTGATCCGCCGCCATGGATTGCAATCCGCGATCACTGCTTTTCATTTTACCTCTTTTACTGTCCTGCGTTGTCCCTGCGTCCCCCATCATCCATCCCCTTAACGAAGGTAAGGGCACTGTCAGGCTGCGGGCATGTGTTGTTTAGGCTATGTGTGCGCTCCCGGTCGTGTGTGTGAATGGTGCGCTATGGCACACAGTGCTGTGCGCTTCCCGCGGACTTTATATTGTCCAAATGATAGTAACAATGATAAAATGATTCAAAGTGCATGACAGTGACAATAGGGACCACTTGGAACCCGTGTCCGGTCACTGACAAGCAATAATTAGATATGAAACTTGAAAATAGATCCAAAACAGGTAGACAAGGTAGCCTAATTTCGGATGAATAACCTCGAGAAGAGGGTGTTATTAGTTGTTTAAACTGGAATTAACTGAGCGATGGCGAAAGGTGTCCCAAAGCGCCCACTGAGGAGTAATTACGGGGCGGATAGATGCAAAGGAACTCCGGCTTCTCTGTTTGCACCAGAGCTTCACGTTGATCTCCTTTATTCGTTTGGGGTGGACGCCCCAGTTCGACTCAGTCGCACCGATTAAAAGACAAATACACGACGAGCACAGTCGCATTAGTTAGTAAAACGCGGGTGGTTGGTTTTATGGTTTTGAGTGGAATAAAACCAAAGCAGGTGGCTTGTGTGCTATATGTAGTCTTGTAATAGTTGTTTTATATAATAGAAAATTATGCTTAAGTGCGATGGTTCGTTAAAAGAATAAATAAACGACTTAATTTGCTTATTTCCAGTGCGCGTTTTGTTCACATTGAACCCCGGTAAAATAAAGTAAACGCTCTCAGTTCAGTCATTTCTTCAAGCATGTCAAACTGGAAACGTGTGAAAGTGTCTCATTACTTACACATTTCTTTAACTTTCTTAACATTTACAAAAAGCATCCAGTAAATATGCGTTGAGGTTAAAGGATTTTGTAGCGGGGTCAACTGTGCTGAAGGTTCTCTGAGTTCTGTAAAGGCTGAACTCCACACGGGGGGGGGAATACAACTGGGCAAAGATTTGGGTCACACTGTCTGGAGGCACATGGTTTGGGGGGGTCACAGTTACATCTCATGAATACATTCTCAAATTGTGCACAGATTTGAGTGATTTCAACCTTAATAGAACTAAAGTACTTTAATGAATCTGAACCTTCTGCCCCCTATACGCAGAAAACTATTCCAAAGTAAGCAGGGCCTAAGTTAAGTGTCCACGATACTGGAAGGTGAGTTTGGAAAGTTTGGGGCTACAGGCCACATCAAAAAGCAGCCAAAGAAAAGTCCTAAAAAGAACGTTACCCATCTAAATCAATGTTAAAAAGGTTATGTCGTGTTTTTCATTGAGTTTATTAATAACTGCCACTGATGAGGACTCTTACTGAAATGAACAACATCCAGCTCACTCGAACTTGTTTTATTTGTGAACGTCCACTGGATTTTCTTTTAAACGTCAAGGTTCATCTGAAAAGTTTCGATCAAAAACCTGATTTCGTCTTCTGAACGAAAATGTTTCATCCCATACGAAAAATGACCTCGTTTCCAGTTTTGTCTTTTTGTGGGCCACCTCTGCGCACTGCTGCTTAACGCCTCGCACAACATTTGTGGCGCTTGACTTAAAGTACGAGCTGAAACTCGGGGGCGGAAGCGCAGTCCCGTGAAAAACTGAACAGAAAGTGACGGAGTTAAGGTGAAGGAGGCCTCCTGCAAATCGTGGCTTTGTCCCAACAAACATTTTATTATGGACATATAAGATTTAAGGGCGATGGGCAGCGCATTTGGCACTGAAAAATAAATAAAGACCACGCAAAATACGCATTGCCCTGACAAAATATACAAGAGTGTACTGGGGAAAAGTGTTTGTGTATATGTGTGTGTGTATGTGTGTGAGGCAGAGAGATAGAGAGACGCGCTCCCATATCACACAGGAAAAAAGAGAAAATGGGGAAAGAGAGATAAAACTGGTAGGAACAGCACAAGTCCAAATATCAATATAACACAACAAATCCGATAATTGCATTCACCTGTTCCAGACTTCAATTTGCCAGAGAGCGTCAGTATCGAGCCGCTGCATCACTAAACCTAAAGACTTTTATTCTGAACCTACAACAAACACACTTTGAATTTGTAATAACTTCTAATTAGTGGCTTTTCATATTAAATGTTAAACGTGTGCAGATGTTTATACCATTGCATCGTGATTTATCCGACTGTTTCCTGTGACAATCAAAAGAACAGTGTTGTCTGTTCTGATAAATAATCGTATTAAAGCAACATTAAGTTACTACGGACTCACAAGACACTGTACGTTGTAGGTATTGTTCTCTATGTGGTAAAATAGCCTCTATGTGCAGTACAGACCTGGGACTGATGAATTTATTGGCGTGCACAGGTTACACATTTATAATTAGACACAGTGACCAATCTGACAGATCACAAAACCTGAGATCTTTTTCTTTCTTGACTTTATTCAAGCCGTAGCTGGTCGGTGTCCACAGGAGTGAAGAGTGAAGTTACTGGCTGTGTTTTTATGCGGACAGCCTGTTGCTAATCAAATCCAGCCTGTAAAGCGCACGGTCGATTATGAGACGTCCAAGGATGCCCATTAAACCTGAAAATCGATGGCCATAAAAGGATCTCATCATTAACAGTTTACTGGAGTTTATGTGAACGTTCAGTCTGGAAGTTTGGAAGTTGTTTATAACAAGCTAAATGCTCAGGCTATTTAATAAGGGAAGAAAACGATGATGGAAGACAAACCTAAACTTTAACGGAATGACGACAGAATTATGTTATTGTTTTATTACTTCTCTGCACATTTATACGGGGGTTTACTCATACCTTCCTCAGTCTTCTAGCTCACCTCGGCACCGTGCGTGTTTTTAACACCAGCATCCCTCAGTGCGCGTTAGGTAATGATCTATTAACATTTTAGGAAAAGTTGAGGGGATTACAAAGTAGTTACCTGAGCCTGCGCTTTATTTAAGTGGAGCGGATTCGTTTTTAACTGGTACAGTTTGAGATATTATAGTTTAAATTTATTTTCCCCAAATTCTGTCGAAAAATCAATGCAGTGAACCAGTAATATAAACTTGCTGATTTCCTTTACTGTTGCACGGCGCGTCCCCATCGCGGGGCTCCGGGAGGCCTCGGGTATTTTTAGCCAGCTGTAGGGAGGCTTGGCCCGGAGAGCCCGGCGAAGCAAGTCCCACTGGGACGCACTGACGTTAGTGAGCGATGGTACCTTTCAGAAGTGTTGGAAATATGCTTGCACATGCCCCTCCTTTAAAAAGAAGCCCATTTCTCTACATATGGTCCTGTATTTTCATGTATGCGTTGACCACACATTGAGCTGAAGATCCAGAGTGCCATGTTCAGCTGAACTGCAGCTGGTTTAGGTTTCACAGTTAGATCAAACGATTAGATTTTGTCTCTATATGAGTGCATGTTGGTATATACTGTAAGTGGAGAAACGAGTATGCAGTACAGTATGTGTTCAGGAGTGTTGTATGATTGACTCTGTGTGTGGATGTACGGCATAAATCGAAGGCAAACTGTAGAAGAAAGAAGGAAAGAAAGGGGATTGGGAGCAGAGGGGCTGGGCAAGAGGCAGCAACATCAGACAGAACGACTATGTAGTTGAATAATTCATAATGGGAGGTGAACACTTCACCCTTTAACACAGACACAAGTCGCCTTCCTTTGCCTGCATTGCAACCTGCCAGCCTTCACATGCTCAGAGCCAAGCTGCAAAGACGAACCCTCTCCACTGTCTTCTCAGCTGGATGGGAAATATTAAAAGAACATTTCTTTTCTACTCTGTTCTGAATGGAGTGTCTTAGTACAGAAGGGATCAAGCACTGCATTGATTCAGGACCAGCACCTTCAATTCCAATGCTCTATAATCTCCTGGGAACCAGTTTCTTTCATAATCATATTTTACTGGGAGCGTCTTAGTCTTAGAAAGGAAGGTCAAATTAAACGAGTATAGACTGAGAGTTTTGCCAGACAGTTAATTTTTGTTGACTCATGAGAACACAATCATCGTAATAGGAACCCTGTGGATCTTTGCTCCAACGTTTCATGTTAATATTCCAACATATCCTATGCCAAGAAGTACTACGTCACTAGCAAGGGAGAAAAAAATGGTATTCTGGCTGTACAATACCCCCCCCCCCCCCACCCCCAACCACCACACAAAAAAAGAAAACAAAATCAATGTTCTTACCTCAGATGTCATAAAAACTAGGAGGTCATTCTTGTTGCCTGTGGTGTTGGTTCTTCTGTTTCCATTGTGACGAGGTTAGTTTATGTGTGAGGGTTTGGTGATGACCTACACTGTACATCATATATCGATTCACCCGTTTCTACCTCTGCGATGTTTTACCCCCTCATAGACTGGATAGTTCAGTTTGCTATTAATACACCTAGTTCCTGTTCAGAGGCTCTCCCTGATGATGCAGGGGCTATATGCTTGGCTGACGCTAGCTTGCTAGCTGACTATCTATGTGTGTGTGAGAGAAAGCAAGAATTAGGGAGACTGTCAGCAAATGCTTGTCTGTGCTCTTACTTTGGGCCTCCTTGAGCATGAATGTGCACAGAAAATGTACATGTTTTGATAAGCATTTGAAAGAGTGCATGTGTACACTCCTTAGGCTTTTGAGTGTTGATGTTTGGGCATCATTTTGGTACATCTTGATACATATCCTGTATTTGTTTCATATCGTGTTTCCTCCTGTTGTTTCTCAGACAGGGGTGCATCCTCCTGTGTTTTTTGTGACTGCGCACAGTCCTGTTTATGCATGTCTTTGTGAGTGTGTTTGTGTGGGTGCTGTCTTCCTTAGCCAACTGCAGCTGGAGGGGGCTTTCTCCCTTTTGCGATATGAGAGCTGTCTAATTTTCTGCTCTCAAATTCCTTCGCTCGGCTCAATTTGAGTGGGTTTGGCTCATTGAGAAAAATAAATTGGAAGCAATGGCCCTGGATAGTGAGCTGCTATTATCTGACATGAACAGATATCTTCATTAGGAATGTGCCGACCGCCACTCAGCTGGCTGTGGGTAGGATGGCTACAGCTAAGGTGAGCCACACTGACTGATAGTTAGCAGACTTGCCTCAGAAAAATTATGATTTTCATCTCAACCTTTATTCTAATGTGAAACAACAATTAGCTTATGAAAGGTTCAATTTCTTGACTAAAATGGTTTTCAGAAGTGCCACCACTGTCCTTCATGACCAACAAGTTCTGCCTCTTGCATACTGACCCTTTGAATGGGTAAATACAGGGAGATCGTATTCCTCATATTTTCACAGTGAACAGAGTTGCAGCTGCAGGGCCTGACTGCCCTGCTGCTTCACTTTGTTGAGTATGTGTGCACTCGCCTGGGTAAATGTGTGTGGAAGTGTACATTTGTCTGTGTGTGTGTTGAGCTGTGGACTGATTTGCTCTCACCGGGATGAGAAGAAACAGGCTGAGTCAGTTTTGGATTGACACAAAAGGGAGAAAACAGTGGAACAGTAAAACCTTATAACTTTTAATCAATTTATATTAGCTGTATCATTTAATTTGTTATTACCATTTTTGATTCTAATCACAATGACTACTTGTTTGTTTTTGTTTTTCATTATTACTAAGTGACAACGGGTCATTGTCAACTTCGGTGAATTACTTAAAAATATTTTAAGATTTTTTTTCCTTTAGAAATTTTAGTCAGTTAATAAAAAAGAAATATACTTACAAAAACTGAACACTTCCTTAAATGTGAACAAATAAGAATCTTGTTTGGTCGTATCACCATGTCTCACACTAGAGCCCACACTTTTTTCTGTTTGCTTCTTCTTCACACCAGCTTCCCATTCACACGACAGCAAGGCATCATTTGTTTTCTCAGTTATCAGTTTGAGAACTATAATAAAAGAGGATTTTAAAAATCTTTAAATGTAATTAATTCAACATTTGGTTCATACTATAAGTAGTTACCCTCTCTGGTTTTACTAGAAGTGAAAGTCCTGAGCTGCAGTAGCTTATTGTCTTGTATGTGTTTTACTAATTACAATCTGGTGACAAACCACAGTCAGAGTTTGGCTACTGAAGTAGGAAGCCCATAGAGCGTAAGGCTGCCTCCACATTCCCCACTCCATATGTCATAGTTCATAGTGACAGTTGTACTCAATCACTGACACCAGAGATGCGTTTATACTAAGAATAGAACGTGTTTTAGCTTATTTTTTATGTGCTTGAGGAAGATACCGGTTGTTGGCGTCAGTTTCACTGAATCTAGTGGCATATGCAAAAGAGTCCCCTGCACTTCACATTACATATAGTGGATGGATCATCAGCTATCTATCTTTTCTCTACATCTGGTTTCGAGGACGAAGAGACCATCGTCTTGGTTTCCTCCTCATCATCCAGAATTTTTTTCAGGTGTTAATCTATATCATTGTACACTGCCATCTTCACCATGGCAAGAATAAATAGTATGTGCTGTATCTCCTGCTTGTGCTCTTCCTGTAGATTCGTCATTAGCGCCCTCTACAGTGCTGGAGTGCAGTCACAACTCCTGCAAAGCCTTGTGCTGAGAGGTTAAACACAGTGATGGTTGTGAGTTGCGCGCACACAGACACAGAGGAGGGCATTTGCCTATTGATACGTGCAGCTCGTAGACCCCTTTATTTGGTCTCTGTCAGACTCCTTCTATTAGTCATGAATTTTCTTCTCTGCTGTGATGGTTTCATTTTGAAAAGAATGAGTCCTTGGCAGGACATAACCATAAAATTTTATTTCCATTCATTATAAATGGATTTACATTTTGTTTTCACTGTGACCAATTGAAGTTCTGACCACTTCTGAAACTGGCAATTGCATCTGAATTTAGATTTGACACAGTTTGCTTTACCTGGTTACAGTCCAGTCCCTGTGGGTGTTTGTGTGGCTAGGCGAGATACGGGTCAAATGGGTCAAAAGCATGAGTCTTGGAAAAGAAACACTTCTTGTTTTGCTCTTTGAAATGTAGGCTCTACTTTAAATCAATACCAATTTGGGATATCTGTGTTGTTGTCACTTTGCCCAACCAACTTCTGCTTTGATGCTTTAAATGGCAAGACAAGACTGGTGTCATTGTCGGCTAACATAGGATATACAGTGTGGAGTGTGCACAGCAGCTGAGAAACTAGAGTCATACTAGGTGCCTGAGGTTGGTGAGCCTGTGAGATTAGATACAGAACGGCCTAACTGGGGCTAACAAGGATTATATACTGATATGTTCTCGTTGTTTTCCTTTTCTCTTCCTCTCCACAGTCAACCTGTTAGACTCTAAAGCAAGCCAAGGGGAGTTAGGATGGATTTCCTACCCATCACACGGGGTGAGTAGCTTCTATCTCTCTATTTACCCCCCTCATTTTTAATATGCTTACATTTGGGAGGCATATCTATCAACATGAACTGAGTTTGGGTTTCCACCCCACACCACATAAAATCAGGATTTTCAAACTCCTGTGGTTCTCACTATATCATATTGACCCAGGGAGCCAAGTGTAGATTAACTCACTTTCCTGTAGACATTTTTCCCATTCTCTATCAGAAATGTAAATGGTTAAGCATTCAAAGTTTGTCATATGGTCAAGATGAGTAAGAGAAAATGTACTGCATACGTTGCATGCAAGTGCATATTTGACTGTGTGCGCTTTTAAAGAAAGAGTAAGGCATTAAAGGATTTAGGCACAACAGCATCCACACAAGAATGTCAATAAGCTTTTTAGTAAAACTCACATCAGCAGCAGTAATAGCGTTTTACTGCTGTAAACATTGGAAATCCATTGTTGAGATTACAGTAACAACCTGTTAATTCATGTGTTCCTAACTGGCATTATGCAGCAGCTCATTGTCATGTGTTTTAATACAGTTACACTACTCATCTTTTAAAACACATTTTCCGAGCCTGTGAGTGATACAGACATTATGATATTTCTAATCAAAATTTACACTTTTGCATTTGGCCTGACATCCACTCTGTTGAGCCAAGAATCTACCTATAAGAACCATTTTAAAGATGTGTTTTGGGCTAAAATTCTCTATCACAACAAATGTAGCGCTTTCATACGAAGCTAACAGACGATGTTGTAGCCACATCATCCTATACATTGGAACGAGGTCTCTGCAGCCTCATCTATCAGCCCCTCTCTGCTACCAGAGTCCCTCCAGTGGACCCTCACTCAGTGTTTATTTGTCTAACTAGTTAGACTGCTGTGCCTCAGGACCTGCCCACACGCATGTACACATTTGTTTTCAGCCTTTGTGGGGACTCTACATTGACTTGCATTGATTTTGTGGAGACTTACACTAACCTTAGCCATAACCACTACTTGCCAACCCCTAGACCTTATTCTAACCTTAGCCTAACACCTAACCTTAAAATTCAATGTAGGCCTAGTCCTCACAATGTCCCCACACTTCCTTATTTCTCCTTTATTAAGTGTTAGAATTACTGCTTGGCTGTGTCATAGGGTAATCCGGTCACTTGTTCCATGTAGCTGCCAAACCACTAGAAGTTGAATCACAGTGAAAAAATGACCTAAAATTAAAAAAATTAAATCAAGACAATTACAGGCTACAGGACAAGTGAGTGACAAATTCAAGAGGTTGATGCGCTGATATAAGCGATCGCATGTGGTTGTACAGTTCATAAAATGGTGCTAGATTAAGAACCAATGTCACTCTTAAATGAGAATGACTCCAGAGAGAAAGACAGAGGTTAGAAGAGGATCAAAGAAAGAGAGAGAGGCAAAAGGAGCGAAGGGAGAAAGAGAAGAGGAGAGAGCGAAGGACAAGAAAGGATGAGAGAGATATTGCTGATGATCAAGTCCTCAAGGTGAATCATCTGTAATTACTCACGTCATCCACCGACTGCGCTCCGATAAGCAGCCTGCCCTGGGACACTGCTGCTCACAAATGATTTCTCATAATGTGGCAGTGGCACTGAGCCCCCCCCCACACACACACACACCAGTAGTCATTCACACTGATGGAGAGGCCAGGGCTACTGGCCTACTGAGACACAACGTGCTACGATCAGAACAAATTAAGAGCTTAGCCTCCTCAGGATGTGCACCCCAGAGCCATCGACTGGACTGACGAGTGTGCGTGTGTTTGTATGTGGGTGATCCCAGATATGCGGTTATCTGTCTGGGAGGCAGGCTGATTGCTGAGCAGTGTCCAGAGGGCTTTGTTCTTTGCAAGACTAAAGAGTGTTAAAGATTACATTGTTGCGTGCTTTGAAAACATTCTTCAGTAATAAACCAACACCCCAGACACTGGCTCTGCATACAAAACAAAATTAATGGGCACATACAAAGTGAAGTCAGTTTTTCATAGGAACCAACAGGGGATCCAACTGCAATGTTGTTTCTACCAGGACTGTTTTGTATTGACTTGATTGTCGGCTGGTGAAATTTTCATTTACGCACACAAAAAGCTGGTTATTATTATTTGTAAATGTTACAGTGTGTCATTTGATATGTTCAACTGGAATTTTGATGGAATAAAAAAGTAACTGAAACCCATTATTTGGTTCAGTTTAAATACAGTAACTGTGTCACATCTAAAGTCCATTTACTTTGCAACATTTTCAACAGACTTTTTTTCTAATTTTGATGCTAAATGATCAATCGCTGTGTGTCACAGTGAAGAAGCCTAACGTCTTCAGAAAAAAGAAAACAGTGGTCATCACAGTATGTAAACTCTGCACATACACACCTCATATTCCAGTTCTCATGTCTGGAAGAGGGTAGGGGCATGGTTTATTATATTCTGGAAGTTTGGAATTGGTTCGTCACTTCAGTCAGCCAGGTTTCTTTTTGCTTCCATATAATACAGCCTGTTAAACATTTCATTCACCCAAGGGCTCTTAAAGTCCCTCTGTGCTCTGCTGCCACCACATCTGCAAAATCAGCCTGACCAGCATACACTGCTCTCCCCACATCCCCAGAAAGCGAGAGAGTATAGAGGAAAGCCCATCCATAAACAAGGATTAACAGTGCAAGGCAAGGGACCAGAGAGGAGGGAGAGAAGGAGGAAGCATAAAGAGAGTTATATTTACTCTCTGCTAGACTAGTGAATATACAAAATGACAACCTTTTCAAAATTATATTTAATAAAATATCATTTACAAGAAATACATTCCATTTGTACATCAATATCCACTAAAGTATATTATACATCAATATAGTCACATCACAAATAAAAAGATGTCCTCCTGTACCAGTGACACAAACGCACATAATTCCAAATGTACCACTGACATGGTTCTTTAGATTTACCTGAAAATGAATAGTAGTAACAAACACAAGCTGGCCAACTGACTTAAAAACATGAAACCATGAAAAATTATACGGCGACCCTTATCCAGCCTTGTTTAGATACACACAGTCAGTAGGCCGTCTTGTTTCCAGAACTCTTTAGCAAGTGTCACTGTGTCCATGAGCAAAGCATAAACTGGGTTTAGCAAAGTCAGGCTTTGGACTTGTCAAAGACAGGAAAGAGGAAGATGAGGGGTCTGATGTGTATATTCAGGTTTCCCTTTGGTAAGACTGGCTGATGAAATGTTCTCTGACTGAAATGCTGCAGTTGTCATGCCTCTGACCCCATAACCTCTGCAGAGCCCAAAACGTACCCTAGTTATGGACACTCCAGTCTGTACAACTACCCCACTCCAGCTGTAGAAGTAGGATGAACAGCAAATACACAAAATATCAACTTTATTCTCCTATGAGTTTTACTAAAAAAACTCATTAAGTAATTCCATGTAAAAAAAACATTACAAATAAATAATAAAATAGTTTGGATGTTAAAAATTATTATGCCAGATACTGTTACATGCTTTATACAGTTAGCATGTCTCTCAGTCATAGTGGTCATAGAATCTGGTTAGCAAAATAAAATTAGTAGTGACATCACTAAAAGTGGGTTCAACAGGAGAGAATAAAAAAAAAAAAACTAAACTAAAACTAAAACATCACTGACACGGTCTACTGTTACACCCTGGACAAGAAGCTGCCCATTCTGAAGTTTATTTCAGAGCACACAGTTAGCCTTGGTTTAAATGCATTGTTACCCTATACTGGTCCATCTATTGGTCCATTAACTCACTTTGACCATTGGCTTTGAAGTGGATGAACTGCTGTGCTGACTGTGTGACTCTGAGACGTGCCTGTTGCCACAGTTGTAATGTCTTGAGCAGATTGAGTTACCACACTATGTTTTACTGTCCCCTTAGCTGCCTCACCTACCTACAGCACAGATCAGAGAAAACCAGGGGCAAGATCACACCAAACTGTGCCCCAGCTGTGACCATCAGGGGTCAGGGGTTGGAGGTCACAAGGACTGGTGTAGGTTCATAGTGTTGTTATATATCAATTAGTGGGCAGGGAGAGGGGTGTTACGCCTCCCTGGAGAGAAACAAGGGGATGGCTACTCACTTTTAACCTTTGTTTATCTTGGTTGACATACAAACAGTTCCGTGCTTCCACAGTGGGAGTTGACTGCTGGTGGCAGAGCTTCTACACACTGCAGAGAGGAAGAGGTAGCAGCAAACAACAATGGCTCCGGATTTTAAAATAAGTAATACATTAAAAGCAATCTTACGTTTTACAGAAATAAGACATTTTTGCATGAAATACACGCTCAGAAGCTAGAAGACACTTCCTGTGTCTGTGGTGTGGGTAGTTCCATACAATGATACTCCATGCATTTGTGGATTTATAGATGGTTAATGATGCTGATGCATTACTAAAATCTGGGGAGGTACAGCCCACCCCAGCACCATATAACAGTGGATTACTTTTTACATTTTATATAACCAAATTGCTATTTGGATGAATAGGAGCGGAATTTCTGTCTCTCAGAAACGATGTTCACTAATATGATTTGCCAAGCACATATTAGAGATGCTGTAATTTGTTCTAGTCAGAATAATGGCATGTTCTTGTAAAAACCTCTAAACAGTGGTGAGTTTGCATCCTGAGTTCCACATGTGGTTAGGTTAAGTCCACTTAAACTGTCTAAAGTTACAAAAGAAAAAAGTAAAAATGTCAAAGCTATTTTTTCAAGATCTAACCAAGGCCCTAATTTTCTTTCAGTGCACAAAACAAAACTGTAAAAAAATTAAATGTGCTTTATGGAACGACATCACAAAACATTTATTATAAGCAAAACAAACAGTATACAAACATTTTGCAACTTTACAAAGATGCATTCATTTAAAAAGTTACCTCATTAAAAATGTTTATAGATGCAACATTACGTTTCTTTCAGAACTTATTTGCTGCTATTAGGAATGTATAAATGTAATTTCTATGAGATGATGAAAAACAAAAGCTACATGCTGTTACTAACCATCATCATCAGTTCCATTACACACTTCATTTATTTTTGGGCAAAATGTGAACTATTTTATTTCAATTTTGAGTTTTTTATTTATACCTTCTTTTTTTTTGCAGGTAATATTTCCATTATTTGAAACACATCTAGAAAAAGTTAGATGTAAGATTCAATTGGTCCTGAAAGAAATATATTATTTACCTATGACAGAGAACAATATAGACAAAGCACTAGCAGAACAGGATACGCTATTTTCATTATATTCTTCTAAGTACATGTTCTTTTGAAACATAACATCAACAGATCATTAATCAGATATTGTCTTTCCTCTCTGTTGTGTCACAATCTGTCAGCGTACCTTTTTACATGTCATCACATCATTTTTATGCTTATATTTAAAATCAGGTTATTAAACTTGTGTGTAAAGTGAAGTGAGATGTTTACGTTCATCTCTATATTTAGCCCCACTCAGTTCTGTCCACTTTCCCTTGTTATTGTTAGACCCATAGAGAGATTAAGCTACACTGTGATGAATGAGGTGACGCCAAAGAAAGCATGCAAGAGGAGACTAAACACCAATGGAATCTTTCCCCTCAGCTTTCCTCTTAACTTTGCCTCCTTCTTCCATTTGTTGTTTTTCAGATCTGTCTCATTTACTTTCTCTACTTTTCTCTCCCTCTTCCCCATTATCATGCTCTCTCTCTCTCTCTCTGGGGGGAGGAGGGGTGTTTCATTAACCTTACTGTGAGATGAAAAACAAGTGGCCATCCTTCAGCCCGAGAGCTCCTTGAGCACAAGAAGCTTAGATATGCCACAGTCACAAAGAACATAGACCTTCTTAGCTCGTCATTAATTTCTGTGCTCAGGCTGAAAGCACCTGCTGTGTCTGGCTGCTATAAAACTTTAAACACATCACATGAGCTTTATGTGAACGTATATGTGTGTGGGGGTTTATGTTTCCATTAATGCTTGTGTGAAACAAGCGATAATTCAGTTTCCACTTATCCAGAAAGTTTGCCTCTGTCTCTCTTACCCTCTGAAGAAAGCACCGCTCCTTCAGCTGTTCACCCATTCTAAATTTCATTGAGAAAAAAACTAGAAAAAAAAACATTCATTTACACATTTTCTCCTTGTCAATTTAACCACAAAGAGCCCAGTGTCTCAGGTGTTTGCCCATTCATCATGGCTCTTATTCAGTGTTGATTTGTCTGGACAGTGAAGGCAAAGCGCATGATCAATGAGTCTTCCCGCTGTGTTGAATTCAAAAGGAATGACGCCGCTTTCTTTCTCTCCTCTCCTCTCTCATTGCTTTCTCCCAGTGGAGGGAAAATGTAAGATAGACACGAACGTTCCTGGTATACACACACATCTGTCTATACTTAGTAGCTTCTTTTGTTTCATAGTGATTCAGCAAGTTTCCTTTAATAGCAGTAGTACTGTGATGCAAATAACCAAGACTGCAGCTTGAAAGGCCTCACTTGGAGACAAAAACATGTTAGTATAAGGGTGGAAAAATCCACGGTGAGATTTTCTTAATATTTAACAGCAATTAAGCGGCATCACGTGGATTTAGTAGGACTGAGGTGGGGTATCACGCTGCATGGTGTTTTTTTCTCTGAGATGTTTTCACAGAGCAAAAATCCAGAAAATTTGGCTAAGGCAGCAAATTAGTTTTTTGTTAATTACAGTGAGTAATTTCTAAGAGATCTGGTGTTGTGATTTTTCACCCTTATGTTTATTAGATACTTAGTATTCAGCAGCACTGAATAATTCATCTGTAAATGCTTACAGAGTAGATATAACTTTATTTTTCTCACTGCTGTCCTCCCCTCCTTTCTTCCTTAACTCCATATTCCTTCCTCTTCTACTTCCCTCTACTGTAATTTCTTTGCTTGCCTTTCCTGTTCCTCACTCTTATGTCTCCCTTATTTGTGTCTCTGTTTACCCTGTCTTTACATCTTTTAATAACTTTCCTAAACTTTCCATTCCTCGCTCGCCTATGATTTTTTGCTCTTCCAACTCTGCCTGCTTCTCTGACAAACCATTGCTGTGATCCTTCCTTCTTTCTCTTGTGTGCTGCTCCTACTCTTTGTCTTTGTCTTCTACCACTCCTTCTCTCCTTCTCTCCTTCTTTTTCAGTGGGAAGAGATCAGTGGGGTGGATGAGAACTACACACCCATCAGGACCTTCCAGGTCTGCAACGTGATAGAGTACAGCCAGAACAACTGGCTTCGCACCAACTGGATCTCTCGCCAGTCAGCTCAGAAGATCTACGTGGAGTTAAAGTTCACTCTTAGGGACTGCAATTCCATCCCGCTGATCCTGGGCACCTGCAAGGAGACCTTCAACCTCCTCTATCTGGAGACAGATGATGACCAGGGCAGCCACTTCAGAGAGCATCAGTTTGCAAAGATTGACACCATTGCTGCTGATGAGAGTTTCACCCAAACGGACCTGGGGGATCGCATCCTCAAGCTCAACACTGAGGTGCGTGAGGTGCGTTCCATGACCAAGAAGGGCTTCTATTTAGCGTTCCAGGACGTGGGCGCTTGCGTAGCTTTAGTTTCAGTGAGGGTTTATTTTAAGAAATGCCCATACACTGTGAAAAATCTGGCCTCCTTCCCTGACACGGTGCCTACGGACTCCCAGTCCCTGGTGGAGGTCAAAGGCTCATGCGTCAATCACTCCAAAGAGGAGGAACCTCCACGAATGTACTGCAGCACAGACGGGGAGTGGCTCGTGCCAATTGGGAAGTGTCTATGTAACCCAGGGTATGAGGACAGAAGCAACATCTGCCAAAGTAAGACACGGCTTCTTTCAGTCACATGTTTTATTACTCAACAGGTCTCATGGTTTCCTTGTCATCCGCTCATTGTGTCTGTTGTCTATTTTTCTTTGTATATAACATTTATGTTTTGCACCTTCCTTAGTGAAACCTACAGCCTGAATCACTGCTTTTTAAATAAGGTGTGTGAATGCAAAGTTTTTCCAAGGCTGAAAAGTGAAGTGTTCGCTGTGAAGACTTTCACACTTTATATCCATCAGCCCAGGATGTTTAATGTCAAATGCCCAGTCTCTGTGTATGTATGTGTGTATGGCTGTATATGTATGATGCTCGTTCTGTATATGTGATGCATTTAAACAAAACCAAAATTTTCAGGGTGTTGACAGATAAGTCAGTACTTGTATGTATATTCCCATGCGTGTGTGTGTGTGTGTGTATTATCCAGGCCTTTGAGCTATAGGTTGCAGTGTTCAGCGGTTTACTAGTGATCTTTTCTCTGACACATCATTAGCAATTGGAAGAGCTTAACCAGAGAAGCAAAGATGGGGCTGATCATGCAGAAGAAAGGAACGGGCCAGAGTGGATGGTGAATAATGAAACAGTTGTGGTGATGGCCGTTGGTGTTGGTGGAGAGGCGAGTGAATAAATGCTCGAGTCTGGAGATACTCAGTTTCACCCCAAAGTCTGTTCTTACCTTGGAAGTGGCTGAAAAACTCGAAATGTACATGTGCAGCTACCTTTAATTTTCAGCCCATCCTGTGAATTTCTCCATCTGCTACATTATTATCATCACACATGTTTGTGTTTGTGCCAGTTTGTTGTTGGAGACATGCAGTGCTCCGCTGTGAGACCTGCAGATGCAGACACCTTGTATGTTGATTGGAACATTGTCCTCTGATAGTCCTTGTTCCTCCTCATAGTATTCAGCACGAAGTAACTTTTCACAGTGTCCGGCATATTTGTAAAAAGTATGGCTTCAATTCATTTTATATCTAAATATCACAATACATAATATATGTTGCATGGTATGACAATAGATGAAGTATATACTGTATATCTACCCTATGCTTTACTAGTTTGTATTTCTGTGCAGTCTTTGTCCTGTTTGACCCTGTCAAGGAGACAGATGCTGCATGTGCCATGAAAGCCTTCTTTTCTGTTGCTGAGACGGGATGCAGCGGTCCATGTCGTTCTATACAGTGTGTGTGCCTCTTTTTTCAGTTTCAGAGGGCTCTTTGCTCTGCTGAAGAAGCTAGACACAGTATATATTTGAAAGCAGCCACCTCTGCACGGCAGCTTTTCCATAATGACTTTAAAGCAAAAATTATGTTCAAAGTTGGAAGAAAAATTGCTTGTCTTTAGCTCTTATAGTCCTAACAAGTGTAGCTGGTCCCAAATGCTCCAGTGTTCATCAAATCTCTCCTCTGCAAAGCCATGTCCACTGTTAATTATAGATCAAAGGCAGTCTCCCAGGTCAAGCCCCTGCTATCAGGGCCAAGGGAAGCTCTTCTTTCTGGGGCTGGAGACTCCTGGTGAGCCAGTCTTACTGTCCAGGTTACAACTGCCAGGAGAAAACCGTGTATGTACAAGATGTAAAATGGTTATTGGGGAAGATGTAAAATGAATCTGGAAAAGGAATGTAAAATGGTTATTGAGGAAGATGTAAAATGAATCTGGAAAAGGGGTGCTGTAGACCTTAACGGTTATTAGAAGAAGTCATGTGCCTTGTATATATGCTATTTTAAATGTCTACCAAAGTGAAATTAAAGGGACAATAGGCAATACATGTCTTCAACCTGTGAGGTTTTACTTCCAGCCAAATTTGAAAGAACTAAAGCGATGGGCTGTACCTCCCCAAGCGAGGACGCTCGGAAGACAAATGGCAGAACCCTGTCTGCCTTTCTACCACCCTCCTTTCACTTCCTGTCTCTCTGTGAATTCTGTGAATGTTAGGATGTATTTGACAATCTCTTATTAGTTTCAGAGAGGTCTAATGGACTCTAATAAGGTCTTAAGTTACTCTGGAGTGCGACAGCTGCACCAACAGGGCCTCTAGCCCCCGCGTACAGTCATCAGGGGCCCCATCGTGGAGCTTGCTCTGCAGGCCCTCTTTGTTAACAGACAGATGACTGCATGGGGTAAGGTCATCATACACACAGATAGCAACTAAGATGAAAACATATTTACAGTGCTACAGCCAGAATAAACAGATAGACCCAGATGTTTTAAACCAGGATGTTTCATATATTTACACGTCACAGACCTAGAAACAGAGATATTGGGCCTCAAAAGCCATTTACTAACATTTTCATCCCCTGAACTCAAACACAAGATGTTTGGCTGTTGTATTATTAAAGGAGTTATACATTGGAAGAAAACTGTACATTCTACAATTAGATTAATTTGTATTGATTTGAATTATAGTGAAATAAAACTGCTGTCCAGAAACTTCCTCACTGACTTCTTGGTGCCCTGAGAAAACATTTTGCATGTTGCTGCTTCACTAAAATAAAATAAAAAAATAAAAAGAAATCACATTAAAATTCAGCTAAAACCACAAATGAGCAATCAAGTGATTAAACATACAGGCTCAGGCAGCAGCGGCTAGGACCATTTAAGCTGCACAGTGTGGCGAGAGAGGTGTTTGGATTGAATGTTGTTGGCTTTGACTGTTAGCTTCCAATATGACTGAAGCACTGCTGCTGAGTATTTCATGCTTTGTTTTCTTTGACAAGGTGCCTTGATGTAGCATCTTCCATTTACCTGAGTTTCTGTCATCATGTGGGAGCGCCTATTATGAGAGTGTGCGTGCTGGTGGTTACCATGCATGTGTGCCATTACATATTTCACAGGATTCAATGTATATGGCTGTGAATGTTCTGATATTTCATCATCCATATCAGAGCATAAGATGTCATCAGATTGTTTGTCAGGGAGAAACAGAGTAAGTGGATATGGAGTTTTTCCAGACTGTACAATGCGAATAGCCGTGTCAGTCATCGTCTGGATTACCATGTGTTTTGTGAGCAGACTTCAGCCTTTCTGCAGAGAATGTGAGGCCAGATCTAATCTCGCTAAGTCACTCTTTCATCTGTCATTAGAACAGACTGGAGCAGGTGAACCTACTCCTATCTACCATCAGTGTGAAATTCCTGCAACCCTAATTTGATCCTAAAACAGCAAACGGATGTCTGTCTTGTCAAGTTTGGTTCTTGTGTGTATGTGTGTGTGTGCACATTGCAAATGCATGCAGCTGTTCAGCTGTACATTCACAGAAAGACCTAGGTTTACATTCTTGCTGCATTTATCAAGACACACAATCCTCAAACTTGCCAGTACTATAACACTTATTACAATTGCATACATGCAATGAATCTGTACACAAAAACACAGGGACACACTCGCTTGTTGGTTACTTACCATATTTCATTATAAATAGAAGAAGAAAGAGAAGCACTTTTGACAACAAAGTAAATGGGAATTCTAATGATTTTTAGTCATTCTGCAGTGTTGACAGATGTTCTAAAGTGATTTGATTCTGATGAATACATCAGCCTCAGCATCTCCAAATATGAGCTCGTGTCTCCTTGTTCACTTCCTTCCTTTCTTCTCTCCTTCCCCACTGTCACTGGTGGCTGTTGGTCTTGGCTGCTTGTTCAAAGCCCTCCGTCCATCTCGTGTCAAATGTTTTATATCACTCTTCACCCTCTTGCTTAAGTGATTTAGCTGCTGCCCTTGCTCATGTTCAGACATGCTTGGCTTTCAAGGAGTTATGTTAGACTCCCATTCTACATCTTTCATTAACTTTGTCTTGCAAGTCTAATCAACCTGACTGATGAAATACTGAAGCTTAGCTCTCTGAGACAATTCAGCATGTAGTTTATCTTCTGATATTCAGCAAAGCTCTAATTTGCTTCAAACTATGAGTTAGATGTCACCCTGTAGTGTCTTTAGAGTTGCTAATTTTGCCTAACCTACTGAGTTTGCATCTCCTTTTAATCATATTGTCTTGGTTTGCTGGACCCCAGGACTGATGTAAAGTGGTGGAGATCCAGCATGTCTGATGGAGAAACTCATTTAGCTAGCAAAAAACAACCAAAAACTTTCCTCATGTGTGGTCAGACCAAACTAAAGCTAACAGAGTGGGATTCAAATAACTGTTTGACAAATATTTGATATATGTAGTACAGTAAGTAGTCTTCGTTCCTAATAGAATTTAGCATAAAAATTAAAATACTGAAGATGATTAACATCAATCCTAAACATTTATTAATCAAATACCAATTCAGGTCAATTAATAAGAGGAGATGAGTTTTAGCAGCAATGCAGTTGAGCTTGCAGCTTCTTTTTCTGACCCGTATTGTTATTTCTGCTGTGCAATTTGTATATCTTTCTGCCAGACTGTTGTGCTGTGAATTAATGGAGCTATTGGTTCCACTCTCATCCCTTGGAAGGACTCTGTTTGTTTGTGTTGGCCATTGTATAAGCTCCCAGTTCTCCACAAGGCCATGTCAGATCTGCACACATCCTTGTTTTTGTCACTTACTCAAAGTCAACACTTGCTCTAACTACTCACCCCGTCATTTTTGTACAATTCAGTGAACAAACTCTGGTCCTCACAAGTGCTGCCCGTTCTCACAAAGCTAGTGTGCTCCTCATTGTCCATCCCCACAAGTATAGAAAAACAACATACACACACAGGCACACTGAAATGCACACACACATACAACTACATCTGCTCAATTGCAAAGACTATTTTTAATCCAGCAACAGGCTAACAGAAATCATTGCTTTTGTTCTTGTCTTGTTTAGTTGCCAAATATGTGTTTACGTGTATTGTTCCATGTGTCCATCAGTTTTTTTTATCCAGTTCCTTTGAGCCATTGTTCCTTTTCTTCCAGCTACACCCTGCTACACATAATATATTATAGCTGCACAGATTCACAATGGGAGTTGTACAGTCCAGCCTGTTGCTGTTGGGCACCTCCACAGTTGTTTTTGAGAGAAACCTCTGT